CAGAAGCACAAACTGACTCTCTCTCAGTCCCAATTCCATAGTCCCAGGGGGAAAAAAAAAAGACATCTGATTGGCTCAGCTTGAATGAAACTGCTATCCTTTGGTCCAATCCCTTGAAGCCTGGAAGGCGGAGCCAGTGAAACAACATGGCTGCCACAGGGGAGTCCTAGAGTGTGAGAGAAGAGTGTCCTCGGGAGAAGAGGATTGCTGTGACCTGGGTAAACGCCACTTGAGGAATCTGCTGATCTTTGGCTTTCTGTCGTCCTCTGACTGTAGGCTTCCCCGCTCCTTGTCCTAGGCTCTGCGTTAGGGTGACCCAGCTACTGACAGTCTCTATCGCACTCACCAACTTTCTCTCTTCTCTAACTCCCTCCCTCCGACTTCTTCCCTGTGAGTACCAATGAGTGATGCCTTTCTACTCACCGCCTGTCCCTGTGTTACTTTGCTTCTGTGTCGCTTTACTGCTGGCCTCTGAGCGAATGGACTCCACTCTCCCCGGAAGTTTGGAGTGGATGGTTTGTCAACCCCAACTGGCATGTAGCTCCCTGTGCGTCAGTCATCAGCTCATCAGTGCATCAGTCCCCTGGTCCCATCGGCTACGGCAAAGGGTAGTAAGGTGACAAGGGTGCAGATCAGAAGCTACAAGTAAAGCACTGTCCACTTCGCTTTGCCCGGAAGAAAGCAGTTTGGCAGTTTTCCTTGAAAGGAACCATGAACCTCTAGCACTCAGGCTGTGAAAGACCAACTCAGTCCTCCAGTTAATCTCTGGACCCAAAATCAGCTCCTCAGGAATCTCTATGAGCTTTGTTTTTGAATAATGGCTAGTTAAGCATTCTGTATACATTGAATAAAATTAATGCAGTACTGTTCAATGTACTATTAAACTCTCAACTGTCATTTTAATAAATCTATTCTTTTCAAATGCTCACTTCTGAGAATCCTAAAGTAAAATAGACAGTTGATAGATTAGAGGGAAAAAATTGCTCACACATCAAAAAATCATTAAGATCTCAATATAACTTCTTGGTGACTAAGGCCTTACAATTATAATTCTGGTGCTAAAATTATGATTCTTCCTGTAAAGTCCTCTATAAATTACTTATGTAAACACCAGAGACAAGCAGTACACAAATATCTACTCTCTCTCCTGCTCCACACCAAGAAGTATGTGCTACTTAAGATGAAATATTATAAGGCCTCAATCTCATCATAAATTAAGGAGAAATGTAATACATAAACATTAAGTAAGAGGAAAGAATACTTTACAGACAACAAAAGAATATATCACGGAAAACCAATGGGAGTTTTAGAAAAAGACACACACATCATGTTACACAAAAGATCCTAAATATTTGGATCTCCTAGTGATGAGCTTCCAACTCATTTGTCACCTAGACCATCTAGTCGCAAGTGAGCATGGGCCTACGCTGGAGGTGCAGCTCCTCCAAGCCACAGAATCCATGGGAGCTTCCTTCATGTACGGATAGAGACATGATGGGGCTCCTTGGCGAGGGAAAACTCCATGAGAATTCTGGTGGCTTTGCTCTGGCTGACAGCCACAGAAGAGAAATCTCTCCTGCATGCTGCCTCATAAAGATCTGCCTTGGGGGCTCATTTGCACACCTGCAATGTAAAATTTTATTTTAAATGGAAAGGAAGCACAGAGGGTGCTCCAGCATCATAAGCTCTTTCCGTAAGCAAGAGCACTGGTCGGAATCACTCTCCTGGTCAGGCCCAGAGGAAGCCCTCCGGAGCATCCAGGCTCAGAAATCAAGCAGGAAAGTAACCTATCCGAGAAGAACTGTCAGCCTAGTTCTTGCAGTGAATGCAAACCCAGTTCAGAGACCCCTGCTGCCACAGGTCCTTCCCTCCCATCTAGTGTACAAAACAGCTCTTGCCAAGCAGGAGTCCAACATAAACCCCAAGATAATTTCTCTTGAGATGTAAAGCTGAAAAAAGCATTGTTAGCAAAGTCCAAACGTAGCACATGATATCCAGAAAATCTGGACTATGGGGATAAAGAAATAGAATACATAAAAGTGGGAAAAACCAACTAATTGATTAATTACTATAAATTAAACTCAGAATTTCTAGGTTATCTTTTGAATAAACTATGGAAGTATGCTAATTAGATCCTGAGCCCCTCAATAGCAATTGTGTATTGGTGGTAGAACAACCCATTCCATGGGCAGGCATTTGGTGAAGCAATTAGGTTGCCTCCTAGGACACCCAAACCCCACGCTGGAGTACCTGGCCTCACATCCTGGCCCTACTGTCCATTCTAACTTCATGCTAATACAAACCCTGGGTAGTAGCAGGTGATTGCTCAAGTGGCTTTGTCCCTGCCACCCATATGGGAGACCTGGATTGAATTCCAGGCTCCTGGGTTCAGCCAGGCCCAACACTTGCTGCTGGAGACATTTAAGAAGTAAATCAGTGAATGGGAGAGCACTCTGTCTATCTCTATGTCTTTGTCTTTCAAATAAATGTTTAAGATATAATTAATTTAAAAAGATCTTCTCCAAAACTTAATGACTTAAAATGGCAATTTATTAGCTTATGACGCTATGGGGCATCAACGCAAGCTAGGCACAAACAAGGGTTCTTTGTCCTGTTCTCATCAGTTGCTTGCTCACAAGGCAACTACCAGCTAGCAGTTCAGCAGGGACTGGATAATGCAAAATGGCCTTGCTCCTGTGACTGGGGGTGGGAGGAATTTGTGGCCATTTACTGCAATCTACACAAGCACAGAAACATCTTAATGAGCACCATCCTCCCTAGCACCTAGTATAGGCCTTGGCATGCAGAGAGGATATTTCTAGTCCATTGTTAAATGAATAAATGAATACGCAAGCCTTTGGTTGCCAACTAGATAAAAGAGGAATTTCAAAATTCAAACTGCCAGTGCTTCTTTTAAAATTAGGCTACTGACATCTTAATCAGCTGCACAGTTAACACCACTACCCTTGCCTTTTTCTCTGCTCACATTGGCATGAAAACTTGTTTCTCCAAATAACTCAGCTGGGATGAGGCTAATTTTGACACCTCTTGAAAAATTGTGCTAGTTCTCCAAAACAGCTTCTATTATCACCTAGTAACACCGAACATAGTAGATATGATTCTATAAACTGCACACGAACATAACCCTGATATTCGACAACATATGGAAGTATGTACAGTCACAATCCACTCACTCAACCACAATCCACCACCAGAAAGAATACAGGGTTATTCACAGTATCCACAAACTGGGGAGCCATCTTCTGCAGCCTCTGTCTAGGAAAAGCCTCCAGAAATGCCCACTGCATAAGCTCTTCCTCTTCCGTCCCCATCAGCACGCTCCCCTCCTTGCATGACAAGTAGCACATGTCTGCAGCTCAGTGGCTTCTCAGCCTTTTTCTCACCTCTAGGCTGAGGGGTCTGACAGCCGTGCTGCGTTTCACGTTCTGTCCCACGCGGTCCAAGCTGGCAACAGCTCTGCCAGTACAAAATGCTCACGAGCCTGTGAGCCTGCTGCTTGTCGGAGGGATTTGCTCCCTTCGGCAAGAGGTTCATCCACAGATCTCGCAGGTAATCCCATCTCTATTTTTGCTTTCGCTGAGCTGGCCGAGGGACACACCCTTAAGGGCCTTCCTCTCTCTGCGTTGATTGAGGGATCTGTGTGCTACACCCTCCAAAGTGGCTGTTTTGTGATTGCATTCTCAGACCTTTTGATCTTCCTAAGGGATCCGAAAAGGATTGTACAGCCCCACCCTGACAGTATGCTTTGTCTGTCAGGGCATACTCTCCTAACAATCAACCTCTCCATTTTAGTCCCTTATGCAATCTGCGTAGGTGGTGGAGTTCCCAAATCATCAACTCCTTGTTGCTTTTTGTTGAACAATTATGTTGCTTCACTTGTGTTTTACTATAAGCTTCAAAAAAAAAAAAAAAAAAAAAAAAAACAGGCCACACCTTCAACACTTTGCTTGGAAATATCCTCAGCTAAACCTCCAAGTTCATTGTATACCAGCTCTACTTTCTATATAAGCACAAGTCACAATTCTGCAAACCCCCCTCCACTATATAATACATTTCCATTTTCCTTCCACTTACAATAACAAATTCCTCATTTCCTTCTGAATCCTCATTAGAAGTGCCCTTAATCTCATTAGAAGTGCATTGTGGTTTAATGTATAAAGCCACTGACTGTTATGCCAGCAACTTATATGGGCACTGGTCTAAGTCCCAGCTGCTCCACTTCCAATTCAGCTCCCTGCTGATGTACCTGGGAAAACAGTGGAAGACAGCCCAAGTATTTGGGCCCATGCACCCATGTGGGAGACCTGGAAGAAGCTCCTGGCTCCTGGCTTTGGCTTGGCCCAGCCCCAGTTGTTGCAACTATCTAGGGAGTGAATCAGAGGGAAGATTAACACTCTCTCTCTCTCTCTCTCTCTCTCTCTCTCTCTCTCTCTCTCTCTCTGTGTGTGTGTGTTTCTGGCTCCTGGCTTTGTCCTGGCCCAGCCCTGGCTGTTGCAGCCACTTGGGGAGTAAATCAGCAAAGGGAATCTCTCTCTACCCCTGCCTCCTGCCCCATCCCTCTTTCAAATAAGTAAATAAATAATTTCTTAGATCTAGATTTCTATTAAAAGTCTGTTCATAACTATTTAGATATTCTCCTAGATGCCTTGTCTGATCCCTCACTGGCAGAAATTTTCTCTCCTCTCTCTCCTCTCTCTCCTCTCTCTCCCCTCCCCTCCCCTCTCCCCTCCCCTCCCCTCTCTCCTCTCCTATCCTCTCCTCTCCCTCCCCTCTCACTCTCCCCTCCCCTCTCCTCTTCCCTCCCCTCTCCTCTCCCCTCTCCTCCCTCTCCTCTTTCTTTCTTTCTTTCTTTCTTTCTTTCTTTCTTTCTTTCTTTCTTTCTTTCTTTCTTTCTTTCTTTCTTTCTCTTTCTTCCTTCCTTCCTTCCTTCCTTCCTCCTTTCCTTCCCTTTCCCTTTCCCTTTCCCTTTCCCTTTCCCTTTCCTTTCTTTTTCAGTGAGAAGCAGAGAGAAAGACAGACAGAGCTCCCGTCCTCTGGTTTACTCCCCTGTGCCCCGAGTAGCCAGGGCTGAAGCTGGGATCCGGATGTGGGGACTGCTCCCAGAGACTGCATTAGTGGGAAGCTGGAGTCAGGAGCCAGAGCCAGAACTTGAGCCCAGGCACTCAGACATGGAACAGGGCACCAGGCTAAACACCCGCTCCTGCCAGCAGAGGCTTTAGCCTCCATGTCCTACCCTCAGTCTGTTTAAGGCAGTCCAGCAGCTTTGGAGTCTGTCAACATAGAGCCACTTCAACATTCTCAGCCACATTATATTGGCGACAGCAGCCCCTGACTTTCAGCTACCAAAATCTCTATCCGTTTTCTGGTGAGGCTCTGCATAGGGGTGGGGAAGTTTTTATTTTCTCCCAAAGGCCATCCAGATACTTATAACATCATGTGTGGGCCATACAAAATCGTCAGCTTAGAAATTAGCCTGCTATAGATTTATTGAACTTCCAGTCCCACGTGCGGTTGCCTTGGCAGGGCCAGACCAAATCACATCTCAGCCTCCAGACAGCCCACGGGCCAGACCTTCCCAGTCCCTGCACATCACCAGAAATGGAGGGGCTGCTGACAACGCGAGTTTATTATTGCACAGTTCTACTGGTCACAAGGCTGAGTGTCCTGAGGTGTCGGAAGAGCTGGTTCCTTCCGAATGCTCTTGGGGTGTCTGCTTCCTTGCTTCTCCCCGCTCCTCAAGGCCACTCCCCAGCCCCTCACTTGGGGTTCCTTCCTCCGCCTGCCCAGCCGGCAGCAGCGGGTCCAGTCTTTTTCACATTGCATCTCCCTAGCTCCTCTCTCATCTTCACGCCTCTCTCTCGGGCCACAGCCAGGTAATTTTCCCATCTCAAGGTCTATACCCTGAAAACCACCTGCCAAGTCCTTTGTGTTTCGTAAGGGAACGTGTTCACAGGTTCTGGGGACTGGGACATAGCTGCTTCTGGGAAGCTGTTACCCGCTACCACAGCAAGAAACTTCTACTCTGGGTAAGCTATTATTCCGGTCTTAGCAATGACAGCCAAATTGTTTTCCTAACAAACACAATCCCCTTGTCAGCTTTATGTTTTGAGTAGTAACAGGTCCTGCCTTGTTAAAGTACTAGCCAAAGGGCAGGACAAGGTAAAAGAACACTGAGAAGGAGAGATAATAAACAGTGCCCGACATAATCTACTTATACCTCACTTTATATAAGAATTACCTGAGGGGCCAATGCTGTGTCGTAGTAGGCTAAGCCTCTGCCTGCAGTGCCGGCATCCCATATGGGCACCAGTTTGAGTCCTAGCTGCTCCACTTCCAATCCAGCTCCCTTCTAATGGCCTGGGAAAACAGTGGAGGATGGTCCAAGTACTTGGGCCCCTGCACTCACATGTAGACCTGGAAGAAGCTCTTGGCTCCTGGCTTCAGATTGGCCCAGCTCTGGCCTTTGCAGTCATTTGGGGAGTGAACCAATGGATGGAAGACTTCCCTCTCTGTCTCTCTATCTGTAATTCTGCCTCTCAAATAATATATCTTAAAAGAGAAAAGAATTACCTGAGATCGTATGCATAATGATAACTACTATAAACTGATTATGCTTTAAATACACAGGAAGAACCTAGTATGGATAAGCATCTGTAAAGGGAGCAGCATTTTATAAAGTGCATAATAAGTATCACCTAACATACCATTTTTAATATGGATTTTTACACAGTTTTAACAAAGTAGGACATCAGTATAAAATATAAACATATTACATATCTGCTCTTTATTTTTGAATGTGTGAGACAATAGACTTTGCTGTTCTATAAAATTCAAAATATTGTTCTTCATAGAGTACATAATAAATGTCTCTTTATTACTAGGAACACTCAATTCTGCAAGAAGCAGCAAGAGAAACAAGTAGGGTTGCTGAAACCCTCAAATGTAAGAGAACTGTATGAGATGTACTCAGAGTCACAGATGATGAGTCATGAACAGCTTGTGAAAATTAGGAAGATTCTTAAGATATGTTCACTATAAAGAGTAAGTCAGTAGCCTGTCAGAGCTGTAAAAACAGGATAAGTGGGATGCGTGGTGGAGCAAGCAATAGTCTCACTTGCAGGTTTTAAAACGTTGGAAAAACCAAGTCTTAAGGCTTGATTATGCTATCATTGAGCTGGCAGCTATAGAACCCCAAAACTGACCACTCCTTGGTGGTACCCATAATGCATCCAACCTGGTCCCAGTTATTCTTTCAATAGGAAACACACATCAAATCCTTAGCTGACTGGTTGGTGAGACGGTACACTCCCGCCGTGGTCAGGTGTAACTGTCCCTGTGCCTTGCTGATAAAACAAGGGTGTATATTGGCACCAAGTGCTTTTCTCCGATTGCTACTCAAACTCCAACTTGGTCATTGTAGCCACATCAGCAGTAGGAATACTAATGTGGCTGAAAGGTACAGAAACAGTGCACAACGCAGGGTTCCAGCAGGGCGGGCAGTCCTTGTACCCTATCCTGAGTGTGCAGCCAGCCCCGTCTGTTTCCCTGTGTTTCTTTCCATGTTATTACATTTATTAGATATATTTCATAAACTTTGTGAGTTGAGTATCATAATTCATTCCATGAGTCTTTCCAGGCTCTGGGATAGCTTGGTTGGTGTTGTTCTTGGAGGTAATTATTGTACAACAGAATAAAATCATATAGGAGATAAAGAGGTGGCAGGAAGGGGGATGGTAAGGGAGAACCCTCAGATGGAGAGATCCCTGGGCTGAATCCAAGGGCTCCTACTGTCAGAAGGGAACTTTTAAGACTGAGGTCGGCACTTGAATTCCCTCCCTCAATGGCTATACTTCTATTCAGCCACAAAGAGCAAATCAGAAAGCAAGCTTGACTCTCCCCTCTCCTTCTTCCTCACATTTGATGAATAACAAAGTCCTCTGGATGGCACCTTGAGGGGCAGGTGCTTCACCAAGCAATTAAGACAACCGTGTCCCATGTCAGAGTGCTTGGGTTCAATACCCAGCTCTGGCTCCTAACTCTGGCTTCCTGCTTGTGCAAACCTGGAGACAGTGATAATGGCTCAAGTAATTAGATGTGGCTTCAGGCCACATTCAGCCGTGGTCATCAAGGATGTTTGCAGAGTGACCAGTGGATGGGAGCTCGTACTATCTTTCTATCTCCATCTCTCTCTGCCTCCCAAATAGTCAAATAAAAGTATGTTTTTATTTAAAATATTTTTTTTAATTTTTTTGACAGGCAGAGTGGACAGTGAGATAGAGAAAGACAGAGAGAAAGGTCTTCCTTTTGCCGTTGGTTCACCCTCCAATGGCCGCCGCGGCCAGCGCGCTGTGGCCAGTGCACCGCGCTGATCTGATGGCAGGAGCCAGGTGCTTATCCTGGTCTCCCATGGGGTGCAGGGCCCAAGCACTTGGGCCAAATACACACTCATATCAAAAAATAGATCTTGGGGTCAGCATTGTGCCACAGTGGGTTCAGTCACCACCTGTGACACTGCCATCCCGTATCAGAGTGCTGGTTCAAATCCCTGGATCACATCTCTGCTTCTGATCCAGCTCCCTGCTAATGTGCCTGGGAAGCAGCGGATGATGGCCCAGCTATTTCAGTTCTTGCCACCTACATAGGTTTGACCAGGCCTGACTATGTCAGTCATTTGGGGAGTGAACCAACAAATAAAAGTGCTTCTATGCATTTTCAATCTCAATATCAATCTCAATCTCTCTCTCCCCTCTCATGCTACATTTTAAATAAATACATTTTTTAAAAAATAATAGGTCTTGACTTTTTGCACCTCTATTTTCCCTTAATGTCCCTACTCCAAACCTCTTCCCTCTCCCCTCTGAGTCTTAGCAAATGCTCCTGATGAGTCTCTCTGATTTCCCAGACCACAGAGTTGTTTTGAAACATAAATTCCATCTTGGCCTTCCCTGGCTCTGAGCTGTTTGCTGGCTCCCTTTGCCGTCAGGATGAAGACCACAACAGTTTCAAAGTTCCCTGAGTCCCCATGACGCCCCTCTTTCCAGTCCCGTGTCCCTCCAGGTTCCTGCTGCCTCTCTTTCAGTCTGGCTCAAGTCCTCAGACCTCCCTTCAATTACAGATCACATCACGGTCTTTCCACCTTCACTTTCAGCATCCTTTTACTTTCACACTCCTTTCCCACCTCCTCCAACTTAATTTATTTTTTAATTTATTTTCAAGGCACAGACAAACAGAGAGAAAGAGGTCAAAATCTTCCATCCACTGGTGTATTTCCCAAATGCCCACAAAAGTAAGGGCTGGGCGAAAGTCAAGAGTCCAGAAATCAATCCGTGTCTCCCATGTGGGTGGCAGGAACCCAAGTAGTTCAGCCATCACCTGCTGCTTCCCAGGGTGCACATCAGCAGGAACCTGAAATTGGAAGTGGAACCAGGACTTGAACTCAGGTATTACAATATAGGATGAGGGTGTCCTAGCCAAAAAACCACAGTCCCCAAGGCAAAGCTGGGGCCCCTGATGTATACCCAGGGATTTCTGTATCAAGGTCAACACATATTTATTGAGGATTCATTGGCTATTCGAGGTATTAAGGATGTAGCAATTACAAAATAGTTCCCACTATCATGCAATTTAAATTCCCCTGTATTAGCCTAGGTAATTGTTGGATAATGTCCATTTCCCCTCTACTCGAGAGGTTCCATGGGGGCAGGCACATGCAGATCTACACACTGTTCCATCCCAACACCTTCCACATGCCAGGCACTGAGTCGATGCTCAGTAAATATCTGTTGAACAAATGTTCCTTCACAGCCAACATTTCCTATAAAACAATCACACTTCACCACTCACATGTGGTCTCTGCCCCAGGACACACTTTTTCAAGGGCTTCAGGCAAGGGTAAAGCTTGTTTCAACAGTGCTGACCCTTTGGGAAAATAGCTTATTCACAGAATGATTTGCAGAGCCCTTTCTTAAATGGTATATATGACATCCAGACAAAAGAAACAGAGGTGGCATTCCTGGCCACATTTTTTTTATTTGACAGGTAGAGTCACAGACAGTAAGAGAGAGACAGAGAAGAAGGTCTTCCTTCCGTTGGTTCACTCCCTAAACAGCTGCTATGGCCAGCACTGCGCCGATCCGAAGCCAGAAGCCAGGTGCTTCCTCCTGGTCTCCCATACGGGTGCAGGGCCCAAGCACTTGGGCCATCCTCCATTGCCTTTCCGGGCCACAGCAGAGAGCTGGACTGGAAGAGGAGCAACCGGGACAGAATCCGGCGCCCATATGGGATGCCAGTGCCGCAAGGCAGAGGATTAACCAAGTGAGCCATGGCACCAGCCCCTCCTGGCCACATTTTTCAGATGTGGAAACCAAGGCTCAGAGACCTTCTGAAAGTCACACGCTAGCAAGTGACAACACAAAGGCTAATGCCTTGGGTCTTGTTTCTTCTTTCTTTTCTGGTTTTTATTTGTTTGTTTTGGTTTTTTGGTGATTCTCCTGGTTGCTACTTTTCAAAAAATTTTATTTGTTATACAAGGTTCATGTATTTCATAAATGGAGATTTAGGAACATGGTGACACTCCCCCCCTCACTTTCCCGCCCACCAATGCTCCAACTCTTCCTCCTCCTCCCTTCACATTCCTACTCTTACTTTTTATAAGGATCTATTTTCAGCTTATCTAATGATCATATAGTTACCCTACATTAAGTAAAAGAGTTCACTAAATAGTATTAAGAAGGAAAAAAAAAAGAGTGACCAATGGAACAGAATAGAAAAATCCGTTTTTTTGGTGTTTTTTTGTTTTTTTTTTTTTGTTTTTTTTTTGACAGGCAGAGTGGACAGTGAGAGAGAGAGACAGAGAGAAAGGTCTTCCTTTTGCCGTTGGTTCACCCTCCAATGGCCGCTGTGGCCAGCGTGCTGCGGCCAGTGCACCGCGATGATCCGATGGCAGGAGCCAGGTGTTTCTCCTGGTCTCCCATGGGGTGCAGGGCCCAAGCACTTGGGCCATCCTCCACTGCACTCCCTGGCCACAGCAGAGAGCTGGCCTGGAAGAGGGGCAACCGGGACAGAATCCAGCGCCCCGACCAGGACTAGAACCTGGTGTGCTGGCGCCGCAAGGCGGAGGATTAGCCTATTGAGCCGCGGCGCCAGCCAGAAAAATCCATTTATGCATCTATTTCCATCTTATCCTTGACAATGGAGCTAAAATCAATCCCTGGAGCAAGGGAAATCTCTTCACGAGATGGTGCTGGGCAAACTGATCTCCACATTCAGAAGTATGAAACTAGACCCATACCTTACACAATAATCTACTCAAAATGAATCAGTTACCTACATCTACAACCTGATACAATCAGATTATTAGAGAATATTGGGGAAACTCTGTAAGACATTGAAATAGGCAAAGATTTCTTGGAAAAGGCCCCAGAAACACAGGCAATCAAAGCCAAAATTGACAAGTTGGATTATATCAAGCTGAGAAGCTTTTGCACTGCAAAAGAGACACTCAGCAAAGTGCAGAGGTGACTGACAGAATGGGAGGAAATATTTGCAAACTATGCAACTTATAAAGGGTTAACATCAAGAATCTATGAAGAGCTCAAGAAATTCAACAACAAAGCAAACAATCCAGTTAAGAAATGAGCAAAGGACTTGAACTGGCATTTTTCAGAACAGGAAATCCAGGGCCAGCACTGTGAAGAAGGTCTGTAAAGAAGCTCCTGACTCCTAGCTTTGGATGGGCCCAGCTCTGACCATTGCAGCCATTTTGGGAGTGAATCAGTGGATGGAAGATCTTTCTCTCTGATTCTCCATCTCTCTCTCTTGCTTTCTATAACTCTGCCTTTCAAATAAATAAATAAATCTTTTTTTTAAAGAGTAGATACTCTACTAGTTACCTTAGATCAGGGAAAACATATGATATATGTCTTCTTGGGACAAGCTTGTTTCACTAAGTATACTGGTTTCCAGTTGCATCCATCTTGTTGTAAAAGACAGGATTTCATTATTTTTTCTTTACAGCTGAATAGTACTCCATAGTGTATATATACCATAATTTCTTTATCCAGTCAACAGTAGATGGACATCTTAGATATAGTGAATTGTGCTGCAATGAACATGGGGGTACAGATAACTCTTTCAGATGCTGATTTCTTTTGGTTTGGGCAAATTCCCAAGAGTGGGATGGCTGGATCATATGGTAGGTCTATATTCAGATTTCTGAGGTATCTCCATAGTGTCTTCCACAGTGGCTGCACCAGTTTACATTCCCACCGACAGTGGGCCAGGGTACCTTTTTCCCCACATCCTTGCCAGCATTTTTCATTTGTTAATTTCTGTATGAGAGCCATTCTAACTGAAGTGAGGTGAAACCTCATCATGTTTCTGATTCGCATTTCTCTGAAGGCTACTGATCCAGAGCATCTCCTCAAATGTCTGTTGGCCCTTTGGATTTCCTGTTTCATTTTGTTTTTAAAGATTTATTTATTTATTTTAAAGACAGAATTACACAGAGGGAGGAGAGGCAGAGAGAGAGAGAGAGAGAGAGAGAGAGAGGTCTTCCATCCGCTGGTTTACTCTCCAACTGGCCACAATGACTGGAACTGTGCTGATCCAAAGTCAGGAGCCAGGAGCTTCTTCCAGGTCTCCCACAGGGGTGCAGGGTCCCAATGACTTGGGCCACCTGCTGCTGCAATCACAGACACATTAGCAGAGAGCTGGATTGGAAGTGGAGCAGCTGGGACTAGAACTGATGCCCCTATGTGATGCTGACACTGCAGGCAGCAGCTTAACCCACTATGTCACAGCACCGGCCCCTCTGGTTTCTACTTTTAAAAACCTGTTCCCGCAGTGGGTTAATGCCCTGGCCTGAAGCGCCGGCATGCCACATGAGTGCTGGTTCTAGTCCCAGCTGCTCCACTTCCAATCCAGCTCTCTGCTATGGCCTGGGAAAGCAGTAGAAGATGGCCCAATCCTTGGGCCCCTGCACCCGTGTGGGAGACCAGAGGAAGCTCCTGGCTCCTGGCTTCAGATCGGTGTAGCTCCAGCCGTAGCAGCCATTTGGTGAGTGAAGCAGTGGACGGTAGACCTTTCTCTCTGTTTCTCCTTCTCACTGTCTGTAACTCTCTCAAATAAATAAATAAAATCTTTAAAAAAAAAAAAAAAAAAACCTGTTCCAAGCTCTCTCCCTTCTGAATGAGATAAAGTCTCATTCAGATGGTAGGTTATCAAAATAAAGGGACTTTAAGCCTTTGGCTGCTGAGCAGATCATCATTGTAGTCTCTTTTGGGGGACGATGAATTTTTCCTTAAATTTAGCATCTAGGCAAGTGCAACAGTCAAGGGAGAAGAAAAATAGGGAGAGTTCTGTCAGCCATGAGCCCAGTCCATCTGGCAGAGGCCATCTGAGATAATACGGTGCCTCATGCCTGCATCTGTGGAGTGCTCACTGATAAAACCTGAGTGTGGCTTTAAATAAACAGTGAGCAGGAAAAGTCAGACATGCCAGGGGCTTCCCATGTAACTTACAACCAATGTGGACTATTTGCCAAGAACAAGGAAGCCTTCAAAATCAAAACGTCCATGGAAATATTCAAAGAAATCAAGCAAATATCCATGACTGAGGTTTCTGATCCCAGCCAGCAGAATAGAGGTCTTTACCTCCCCATCTTCCAAAAAAGAAAAGGGAATCTATGATGTAAAAGAAGCCTCTTTAGGTTAGAAATCTCATGGATTTCTGGGATTAAAGGGAGTAAGTAGATAGATTGTACTGGTGGACAAAACAGAGCAGCTCAGAATGTGTATCAGGAAAAGTTATAGCTAAGGCTGGAACCCTTCGGAGGGGCTCCAAGTTCAAAGCCAGCAGGAACACAGAATGGGAATGGGGAGAGGTGCAGAAAGCAGAATGTTGAAGCCCTGCAGGAGCAGCTGGGGAGCCAGGCTGCGTCCTCACGTTACCTCGGAGGACAGCTCTCAGCTAGACCATCGCTCCTGGGCACGAACAGAGCTACACTTGCTGGAGGAAGAGGGCAATCAGCTTCAGGAGGACCAAGCCTGCGGCTGAGCGCTAGACCTGCAGCAAGCCCCTGCCCTTTGGCCTGCCTTGCATTCCTTCCTTTCTTTTGGAACCTCATTTTTTTGCTCTGGGGAACACTCATATTGCATTGATTGCAGTTCAGTCAGTCAAGAATTGTGGGCCAAAGGGCCTTCCTGTCATAGCCAAGAGTGGACACCTAACTCAAGTGGGGGCAACCACATCCTCGCTCTAATGGACTGACCAAAGTTTATTCTCTCTCCAATCCAATTGCTCTGAAAAAACTGTTGGGTCATAATCCATGGTTGCTGCCTGGAGGCAAGTCCCTGGAGGGTTCTGGGTCCTGTGGGCCCTAGTTTCCATCCTGCCCCGAGCCTGGT